AATAAAAAATTTTAAAAATTCAATTTTTATAATTAAAGAACTAAAAAAGTGCAAAAAAAATCAAAAAATAAAAACTATGTAAAATCTTAAGTTGACCGATTAAAATTAACATTTAACTCTAATTAAAAGCTAATGTAGTTAGAGTATGGAAAGTCGATGGTAGCATGATGTGATGATCCCGTATCAAAGAAGGAACAATCCAATTCTTGTTTGAAGTATTTAACGATGCAACATATAGATTGTGGTATCATTTCAGTGGCTTGAGTTTCAAACTCCAGATAGTTTTTTACAAAACTTTGATAATTTGATAGATAGGCATTATATAAAATCAAATTGTTATTACCATCTCATCTATAGATTGCTATTTTATCCCTATTATTTTATCCAAAAATTGATTTCTACTTTAAAATTTCTTCGACTCATATTAAAGATTGGCACATACATCATATTTATTATAATTCAATTTTCATATTTATTGCTATGAGAATTAAAATAGTGATGGTTAAGAGAATAGATTAATAAAAAGTTTAGTATTTATTCATCTATAATCTAAATAAAAAAGATTAAATAACAAAATTAAACTTTGCAAGTTGACTCTTCAAGTGAATATGGTTTATTAATTTTACACAATAACATATAAAGTTAAAAGCAAAACTAATTTGCAAAGTAGAAGTGAGGAAGAAATTGAATTGATTGTGATGAGCTTACCATTCAATGATAGACCTCAGTTGTAAGCATTTTTCTTCATAAAAATGTAATTGAAAAATCATAAGTAATTACAAAGAATTTAAGAAAGAGATTCCTATCCATCCATTAAACGTAGATCTTTCCAGACTACTTTCTTAGTTTGAAATTTCTATAACTATCTATTTCATTCATGGACTTAAATCGTCTAGAAATTGGTTCCTACTTTGAAATTCTTCTACTCTTATATTACATATTGGCATATACATGTATCATATTTATTGCTTGTCAATTTCCACATTTACTTGACAAATGTGGTCAAGCAAATGTAAATGAGGAAACTTGCAAGCAATTGCAGGGAAGCGATGAACAGAGAGGAGTAAAGGACTCGAGTTATTTTCGCATTCTTTATAAAAGGTCCAACATTAACGTTGCTACTTTTTGGAAGAAATAATTTTCTACCACATATAGTTCTCTTTCTCTAAGTTTTGGCTCCCACTTCTTATCATTTTATCATTTTTACTTTTTTTTTTATTCTTTGGGATTCATTACAATATGAATTACATATTAAAAGTGAAATTCGCTCCATAAATTTATTAAAACATCTTTAATAAAATTATTTATTATGTTATTTTATTAAGAATATTTTAGTAAATTTATAAGTGGAACTACATATTTAATGTACAATTCACCATATAAAACATCTTTTTGTGATTCTTTTACTATTTCTATTTTATTTTACTTGACAAAGTGGAATTAAAGAAGTTAAAAAAGAAAGAGTTTATCTTTACATAGTTAAAAGATCAACACCACTTAAATCATTAAAAAATACCTAATT